AGCTCCCCACACCTCACCCCACCTCTCCCCACACCGACCCGCACTCGGGAGAGGGGAGACGCGCTCGGTCGCATTCGGCTGCAGCTGTCGCCCGTGTGTCCACGCGATGCTCTGAGTAGACTGCCCGACCCGCCCCGACCCTGCCAAGCTGATGCGCAGGCGCCTCTTCGAGCAGCAGATCCGCGATTTGCTCGCCGCGAACCCGCCCGGCAAGCTAGACGAGAGCGGCGCCCCCTTCTGGGGCGGCACGCGGCTCCTCCCCTCGCCGGCTGCCTTCGACGCGGCCGAGCCGACCCACATCGACTTTGTGGCGGCGGCGGCGGCCCTCAAGGCGCGCACGCTCGGCCTCGCGCCGCCGCCGCGCGAGGCGGTCGCGGCGGCGGCGCGTGGTGTCGGCGCGCTCGAGCCGCCGCCACCGCCGGGCGCGATGCTGCGTGCGGTTGCGGCGGCCGAGGCGGCGGCGCGCGCCACGGGCGGGGCGGCCGCGGCGTTTGGGGCCGCGGAGGAGGCGTTTGAGAAGGACGACGACGCGAACGGGCACGTCGCGTTTGTGACGGCGGCCTCCAACTTGCGCGCCGTCTGCTACGGGCTCGAGCCGGCAGACGAGCACAAGACGAAGCTCGTCGCGGGCCGCATCGTCCCCGCGATCGCCACCGCCACCGCCGCCGCCGTCGGGCTCGTCGCGGTGGAGCTGCTCAAGCTGGCGGCCGCCGGCGCGGCGCCCGCCGGGGCCGAGGCCTTTCGGAACTCGTACCTCAACCTCGCGCTCCCGCTGGTGGCGCTGTCGGAGCCCGAGCCGCCGGAGACGTTTCGGCTACCCGCCTCGGCCGACGGCGCTCGCGGCGAGGCGTGGAGCGAGTGGTCGCGCGTGGAGGTGGATGGCGGGGGCGGCGAGCTCCGCCTCTCGCAGCTCGTGGCGCGGCTCGAGGAGAGGTTCGGCCACGAGGTCTCCTTCCTCTCGACGAGCGGCGGCATGCTGCTCTACTCGCCCCTCTCGCCGCCCGCGAGCCAGCAGAGGTGGCTCTCCATGGGCGTGGGCGCCGCGGTGGACGAGGCGCTCGGCGGCGGACGCGGCGGCGAGCGGCTCGTGCAGCTGCAGGCGAGCCTCTACGACGAGGAGAGCGAAGAGGACGTCGAGGCGCCGCCCATCTTGTACCGCCGGCGCGACTGAGCCGTGCAGCCGGCGCGCCCGGTGCCTCCAAGCTCCATCGAGCCGAGGCGCAGAGAGTTGCATTCGTTGTATACCCATGCGACCGAACTCTCCGCTACACCCCATGCCTCTACCGCGTTGCGATCTCAGCGAGGTCGTCATAGGGGTCACTCCACTCCACTCTCAAAGTCTCAGAGAATTTATGACACACATGCGACGACATGCGTCCACTGCCAGACCAGACATGGTCCCGTCGCTTTTGCCGCCCACGAGCCACGTGCCACGACCCACGAGCCACGTGTCCCAGCCGTTGCCGGCGCTTTCGCACGAACCTAGTGCTCAGTTCCGTCTTCCTCCCCCTCCTCCCTGTCTGCAGGCCGTCCTACGCTGGCGGGAAGAGGCGCGCCGAGCCATCGGCGACCTCCTGGCGAGCTCATGGCCACCCAAGAGGTCGCACCGGCCCGTCGGTGGCTCCGCCGTCGGGGCTCCGCCGCGAGCGGCGACGGTGAGGCCGCCGGGGCTCGCCTATACCGGCTAGTGTGGAGCTCTCAGTGTGGTTGCGTGTTGTACTAGTGATTCTGCACTAGGCGGCCCGTTTTTAGCAAAAAGCAGATACCACATCGCGCCTGGTCATCGAAAAACCGCATCTTCGCCCGTCTGGGACCTCTTCGTACGGCTCCAAAAACCGCTCCTTAACGACGACTACGCGGCCCGGCGGTCGATCTGCGCCTTCTCAGCGGTGGAGGGGATGTGGGCGGTACGTGCGGGCCGCGTGGTGCTGCGACGGTTTGACGAGTGCGACTCCCAGCGTCGACTTTGCGACCCTACGGAGCCGCGTCGTTGCTTGCTGCTGCTGCTGCTGCTGCTGCTGGCCGGCGGCGGCTGTCGCGGCGTCATCCGAGGGATTCTGTGGCGTCGCCACGGCTGGCGGTGTCCTCTCTCTTGGTCGCGTAGTCCAGCAGGTGGTGCAGGTCCCTGCATTTCAGATGCCTCGTCAGGGCCTCACTAAAGTAGAGCTGCCCGTACTCGCCGTACGAGAAAAGGGGGGCCACAAGTAGTTGGAATCGGTCGAGAAAGCGCGGCGGCGGCTGTTCCCCTCTCGAGTGGTACCTTCGACGGAGGCTGCGAATATGGGCACATTTCAAAGCGGCCGCATGGACGAGTCGGGTGAGAGTAGCCGTCCACACGTCGTCCGCTTTGAACGTGACGCGACGTTGTCGACCCTGTAAAAGTCGATCAGCGTAAACTTCCAGAGAAGCAGGCAGAGAGTTGTCGTCACTAGGGGAAGACGTTGGTCCTCCACGTAGCAAAAGAGTATCCTGTCGCGACTGGGAGCAGGGGTGTCGGGGAGGATCAGCTTTATCCGGCTGAATAGGTGCGCGATTATTCGGCCGGTGTGCGCAGGACTCGCGTTCGCGGTGGCAAATGGAAGCCGGGCAGAGGCAGCCGCCCTCCGCCTCTGCCGCAGCAGCCGCCTCGCCCGCTCCCCAAACCCGTGGCCACTCGAAAAAGAAAGACGCAGCGCCAGCCGCACCCGAGACAAACCCGAGCGTCCTATCGTGTGATGCCTTTCAGAGATTTTTCTTTCGCCTTTGTGGCCACGCGGCAGAGGGTGGACCAACGCCACGGAGTCGGCCTACGCCAACACCCATGCTAACTTCCCTTGGCACGCAACCCGCCCGCTGGGCCTGGGGCGGACACTCGCCGCAAGTTGGCGCCGGCGAGGAGGCCCCACCACTGTTTGACAAATGATGGCTGTCCCCTCCCATCCCAGGAAGGTGCTCGCGCGAAGGAGCTAAATTTATGAGCCCAACACGCAACGGCGTACCTCTGCCGTATCCAACTGGACTCGCACCGCTCAACATGCACAGCAAAGATGGTGGGTTGGTATGAACTTGGCGTATGAACCCTCGTACGCAGAAGATGGTTTTGCGTGAGTTGGCCCCGCCCCTAACATTATGGCCGACAGAGCGGCTGGGAGACTAATGTTAGGGGCGGGGGGGGGGCGATCTGGTGTCCAGAACGGGGCTCGGCGCCATGAGCAGACGTGTTTTGTCATATCTGCGTACGAGGGCTAAACGCCCAAATGGATGTGAGGATGGTTGATGACTGCACTTCAACTTCCAAGTTCCTAATCCGCAGGAATTGGGTGATTGTGAGCACCTACGCTCGCAATCAATCCTACATCTTGCTTGAGCACTTGAGCACTGGATAGGGTCGATTCCGCATGGTACGGGACCCCTCGATCGTCTCGCCCTCCCTCACGGGTGTGTTTTGGGGGGGGCAGTGCTTGCCATTTACTGGTAAATGAGTGGTATTTACCACTTGTTTGATTCTCCTGGGGAGTGGTATGGTAAAATACGAAACTCCGTGGAATCATCATTTTTTCGAGCTCTGAGCCGAGTCTGAGGCTGGTTTGCCGCCAAATTCAGCAAAATCCGCAAAATACCCGGTATTTTGCGGGTATACCTGGAAAAACCCGGCTCCCGGGTATACCTGGGAAATACCCGGTATTTTGCCGATTTCTTCGACTTCTGTCACATTTTGCCTCAGAAGTCGTGGTAAATCTTACCACCGTTTGATTGTTTTGGCCGTAGAGTGTTTGATTGTTCTGGTGGGCTATACCAGCAAACAGCAAGCACTGGGGGGGGGGGGGGGTCCATAACAAAACAAGGCATGGGCTCATTAAATAGCGCCGGGATCTTGTCACGCGCGCCTTGGATCTTTGTGTGAGTGAGTATTCTTGATACGAAACCACGTCGACACACACCAGTCGACCCGCATTGGATGCCTCCATATGAAAGGCGGAACACAGAGACACACACACAGCGCCCTGTGTGTCATGTGACAAGTCGCCGTCCAGACTGTTCTTCACCTTTCTCTACCTCTTCTGCGCTCCATTGCGCGCATGCGCTCGCGTTGCTCTCAGCAGTGACCGCTCTGCCCGCTAGAGCAATCGGGGCCGCACGCGTCGCGCCCACCAGGATGTCGCTTCGTGCACAGAGCGCGTACCGCACGCACACATAGCGTCACTACGTCGTACCATACCCATCGAGGCTGTTCTACCACGCCACCTATCTTGCCTTGCCTGGCTTCGTGCAGCAGGTCTCGGGCCCAGCAACGCTGCCAATGCTGGTGTAAGTGATGTCGGGTACCATGCAGGTGCAAAAGTCCTTCTTGGAGCCGAGCGGTCGCGTTCCCTCTGGGCACTTTGGCGAGAGAGCAGGGCTCATCTCGTACGCACGTACAATCCAGTTTGCGCAGTTGTCGGCGGCGGGCTCTCGGCCGAGGCATTTGCCCGGGCAGGCGATCGGGAGGGTCTTTGGAGGCTGCCCGAAATGGTACGTGAGGCCGTCCGGGCTGGGGATCCCAAGATCTCGAGGAGGGGTCCGCGCGAGCGACAGCTCGGGCAAAGCAGCCCCGAGGACAACGAGATGCATGGGCCGAACCATGCTGAGCCCTGGCGAGTGGCGTGGTGGGGGTGGGGCGGAGAGGGCTCTCAGAGCAGGTGGCCGGCGCGGCGGGCTCGCTCGCCTTGGAGACACGCTATGTTTATTGAGGTGTTTTCATCTAAAATTCGCAGCCCTCTGTAGCATCAGGTGGTGGTCTCGTGTGTGGGGGAGGCTCAGCAGCCCACCACAGGGAGGTTTCGTCAGTCTCCGAGATTCGACGGACCGAAAGGGTAGAGGCTTACTCACAGGTAGGTAGGTACTCACACTATGTATGTATGTAGTAAGGTGAAGAACAGTCAGGCTCGGACTGGACACCAACGCGGTATGGTCACACTCACGGTAGGTAGGTAGGTAGAAAGGTGAAGAACAGCCAGGCTCGGACTGGACACCAACGCGGTATGGGTGGACGCGAGACAGATGATGACGACACGCACGAACGACACACAGACACAAACAAGCTCACAAGACACACAGCCAGCTGGCTGCCACACACCCTGAGTTGGCGTATACATAACTCAGGGCCACATTCTTCCTGTCGCCCCCCCCAGCACTCCAAGGTGCCAAGAGAAACAAACAAGGGCACAACAAACAACAGACGACAGGAAGCAACGTGCGAGGCTAGAGCAGGCTTGCTCGTCCTCTAGCAATCTCCGCCGACCGCGAGGCCGGACTAGACCGTGTGTGGGGTCATGTGAGGTGTCTCTGGTCACTCTCCTCAGGGGCTACCCGCCAGCGGCCAGCCCTATCTCGCACTCACTGTCGGTGACAATTCTATGGGTACTCACGCACAGAGAGAGAGAGAGAATTCTTGATACGAAACCACGACGACACACACCAGTCGACTCGCATCGGTTGCCTCCATGAACGGCGGAGCTATTCTCGCGTCCACACCACACCTGGCTCCAACGTGGACACGCCCATAGCTGGGGACACTACTAGGTCACGCATGGCATCAGAAGTTTTATCTCTGGGCCCCGAAAGGCATCTCTAGCAGCGTCGTTACGCATGCACCCTCCCCTCCTGGGCGCATACGCCTCACGTCTCGACAGAGCATAAGCCCTTGGTGTGCCACGAGACGAGTTTTTCGCCATCGCAGCGAGCAGCAAGCCACTCACCGCAGCAGCCGGAGGCATCGCCACGGCACTGGCTGCGCCGCGGTCCCGCACCCGTCGGCGACGCTCCCCCCGCGGAAGACCGCGCGTAGCGACGCCTTGACGATCGAGATGAGCGCGCTTGAAGCTCGCCCACCTACTGCCCCTGAGAGTTGGTTATCGAGTGGGCTCAGCTCCCCCCCTTGGGATCGAAGCTTCCACGACCTCGCACCCAACACCACAGGCGGGATCAGAGAGAGACTCCGCACCGGACACCGCCCGGGCACAGACCCCCTACCCGTCGGACAATGCCTGGACCCCTCACAGAGCGGCCCACACACAGATCACGCATCGGCAGATTTCACGCCTGGATCAGGCGTAGACAGCACACACTGGTCACGGTTGCATAGCCCTGCCGGGGGGGACGAGTTCGCAAGGTTAATATTAAAAGCATACAAAGTGGTGACAACCACTGAGTTCTCAGTGGACGACGAGCGTCGACTGAATCTCTCTCTCTCTCTCTCTCTCTCTCTCTCTCACGCACACACACACAGGCTTACCGCGAGAGAAAAACATCGGCGTGTTTTCGGATGTATGGCGGTGCGGCCGCCCAGCCAGCGCCGCTGCCAGCCTCGCTTTCGGCGGCTGCGCGGCGGCTCAAGCGCTTCCGCTCTCTCCTCGGGTCGGAGGCGCAGCTGGCCAACCGCGAGCGAGCCTCGCTTGACAGCCTGCTGGCCTCCGCCTCGCAGCTGTCGCGGCAGGTCGCCAACCTGCAGCACGCACTCGAGGGCCTGGCCGTCGGCGCCGGCAGCGCCGGAGGGACGCACCCGGGCCCCGTGACTTGTCTGTGCGCCTCTCCCGAGCCGGCGGTCCCGCCGCTCACGCTACGCCGGCACCTCGTCTCCTTCGGCGCGCTGCTCACGGCGCTGCGGTGGCAGCCGACGGCGCTTGCGACCGCGCTCGGGGCGGGCGGCACGCCGCCCACGCTCGCCGCCCAGCTCGTGCTCTGCTTTCTGTACCGGCAGCTCTGGTTGCCGGCCGAGGAGCCTAGAAGGCGGAAGCCGTGTCTCTTGTCTTGCACGCAGCGCTCGAGAGGACACGCACTCGCCGTATTCGGGCAGCACTCCGCTGTGCTCGTTGTGTTCGTGCCCCTCGCATTCACACAGGGCGCTCTCTGAATGCTCTGCACGACACCGCCACCCGAGAATGACGCATTCAGCACGCAGGTTCGCCGTCGGCCTATTCCTTAACTCAGGATAAGAAAACACAAATCGTAGGCGGAGGAGGACGCGGTCGTCGAGCTGCTCGCTGCGCTCTTCGAGGCGCCTCTAGTGTGGCAGCCCAGCCAACTGTCCTGCCTGTGTGTCTTGCCCGTGTGTCTTGCTTGTGTGTCGAGTGGGACTGTCTGTCTCTCCGCCTCGCCTGCATCCACCCATACCGCGCTGCTGTCGTGTCACTGCCCAGACCGCGCCTTCGCCTCTCTGCCTCCCTACCTAGGCGCCTCCGCCCTGTGAGTCTCTGTGTCTTGTGAGTGTCTGTGTCCTGTGTGTCTGTGTCTTGTGAGTGTCTGTGTCTTGTGTGTCTGTGTCTTGTGTGTCTTGTGTGTCGTGTGTGTGTCTTGTGTGTCGTGTGTGTGTCTGTGTCTCGCTCCCGCGTGTGTCATCTCCCGTCCCACATCCACCCACCACCACCACCGCATGTGCATGTGCATGTGCATGTGTCCAGTCCGAGCCCGTGGCTGCTCTTCACCACCCACCACCGCGCATGTGTCCAGTCCGAGCCCGTGGCTGCTCTTCACTCGCCAGATACGTCACCACATAGGCGCCACCCCCCCCTCCGCCAACCAGCCCAGTCGGAGGATCGCCCCTCCTTCTGCAGCCGTCTCCGCAGGCGCCGCGCCCGGCCGCCGCGGCCGCCGCCGCCTCCGCGGCCGCCGCCTCCATCGCCCCACGACTCGCCTCGACGCCGCCGCACCGCCCTCCGGACGGCCGCGCCGAGGCCCGCACCTGTTTAGAAGCAGACTCTCTCCCCGTATCTCGCTCTACGCCCCCATACCTCGAGGCCTAGAAGCGGGATATCTCCCCATGTCTTCCTCTACGCCCCCATACCTCGTTGACATACCTCGAGGCGTAGACGCGGAATCTCTCCCCGTATCTCGCCAGCAGACAGCACACAAAAGAGCACACAGCACAACTCCGCAGCCCCACCCTCAGCTTGGCGTAGGCAGACAAAAGAACCTCCAACTCCCTCAGTCTCTAGAGCTCCACTCTCTATGCACATTCGAGGTGGCCTTCTCTTATGGAGGGGAGACCTAGAATCATCATCTAGGAGGGAGGTCTTGTTTACGGAGCGAGGTCTTGTTTCCGTAGGCCCGCCTGCCGCTCTCCGCGTCGCCTCTTCTGGTGGCGGTCGCGTCGGGGTACATGCGGCTGATGGCCGGCGGCACCGACTGGCTGCAGGCCGTCCTCAGCCACGCTCTGCGCCGTGTCGCGGAGGGCCGAGGCACCGGGCTCGGTGAAGAGGCGGAGGCGCCGCGTTGGCCATCAGCACGCGGGTCTTCAGAGGCGCCCGCATCGGCGGCGGCGGCGGCGGCGGAGGCGGAGGCGGTGGTTCGTCGCGCTCTCGCGCTCGCGCAGGCCGCTCCGCCGGGCTTGTGCTCTTTGCTGGCGAGGCTGGAGCCGGCCGACGCCACTTGGCTACTCCTCGCGCAGCTCCTCGCCCCCGCCGTCGCCGCGCCGGAGGCCTTCGGGCTGGTCCTGCCGATCGCGCTGACGGTGCGCGCGCGCGAGCGGTTGCGGGAAGTTGCGGAGGCGCTCGCCGCTGCCGCGGAAGAGAGCGGCGGCGGTGGCGGCGGCGGTGGCGGCGGCGGTGGCGGCGGCGGCGGCGGCGGCGGCGGCGGCGGCGGCGGCGGCGGCGGCGGCGGCGGCGGCGGTGGCGGCGGCGGTGGCGTCAACGGCGACGGCGCCTCCCTGCAGCGCCTCGTCTCGCTCTCTAGCAGCGAGGGCGGCGGGGCGGAGGAGGCGGCGGCGGCGGAGGCGAGGGGTGCCATGGTGCGGGACTTGGCATCCTTCTGTGTGGCCGAGGCGGCGCGTGCTGGGCGGGGCGCGGCGGGCGCTGGTGCTGGCGGCGGCGAGGGCGGCGAGGGCGGCGAGAGATTCGAGGGCGGCGGCGACGCGGCCACGCTCATGTTGCGCCCCGTACGCCCGGCGGAGCCGCTCCCCGAGATGAGCCGAGATGACCCGAGATTGCCCGAGAGTAGGCGCGCCAGCCCTGTGCCTCCGGTGGAGCTGCCGCTGCCGCATCTGCGTGCGCTCCTCTCCGCCGCCTCCGCCGCCTCCGCCGCCCGCCCAGGCTGGCTCCGCGCGCCAAAGCTGCCTCCGGGCAGCTACGACGGCGCCTCGTCCTCGGAAGAGGAAGGCGGCGGCGGGGCGGCGGCGGGCGAGGCGGAGGCGGAGGCGGACTGGGCGGCGCAGGCGCTGGAGGCGTCTCTCCCCGCGGCTGCGGTGGTGTCGGAGCTTGGAATCACGTGGGGCGGCGAGGCTGTGGCGATCGAGGCGCGCGGGAGGCCAGAGGCGGAAGACGTTTCCCCATCTCTCCCCATCTCTCCCCATGGG